ACAGTTTAGACATTTAGCATGTGAAGTATTTAATCAATATATTTTATCTGAATGCAGCTTTCTCAATTCCCTCGCTAGTAAATAAGGCGGGCTTTCACCAGCTTCACCAGTTAGAAGTTTCTTTGTTGTTGCTGCATTTTCTTTTCTTTGTGGTTTTCTCCTTTTCCATGCTTTGCTCACAGCCATTGGATAAAAAAAAGCCCTGCTGTGATTTGACTTTTGATAACTAGAGTGGGACAAGGGATAAAAATGTTCCACGTAAAGTGCGACTCCTGGTCACCCTTATTAATTAGTGTGATTTTGATCAATACTGCAGGATTTACTGTAGTACAGTTCCTCACTGGGACCACAGGAGGGCAGTGATCCCTCGTCATGCTGCTGAGTTGAACTGTGCAGAAATGCTGGAAACTTCGATGGCTTCCAAGTGACAGTGAGTTCAGGTAATGATTATAACTTGAGGTTTTACTGCTCGTGTATGATTATTACATGTTATTCCAAGTAGAAGTCGTGAAGAAACGTATACACGGCAAATAATCCAATGTGCGACTGTTTTCCTCCACAGTAATAAATACCTATATAAATAGGAATGTGGCGCTGTAGATTTTAACTATCACCACAAGGGAACAACGAAATTGATAATTTCATAGTCATTTCTGTCTCTTTTCGTTTGAGCTTGGGCACATTAATTTGAAAGTACGTACCGGAAGTGTTCCCCTCGTTTTATAGCTGCATGACGCAGCTTTGACCAATTTAATAATGCAGTTCCTCATTGTGGCCGCTAGATGGCAGCAAACACAATGAGTCCACATGAGAATCAGACAGCGACTGTTGTTTGTATAATAATCTCCTCTTGTGGTGAAGGATAAACTGGTCTCTTCACGAAAGTGGTATTAATAAATATTGTTGTTATTTATAATAATCACACTAATACCAATGTATGTTAATAATACTTGTATTAACACTTACAGTTTAACAGTTTAATGTAATGTTGCAGTTCCTCACTGTGGCCACCGGAGGGCAGTCATGTCCACATAGTATCTTCTAGTAAAAGGTAGATTTCGCCACAAAACTCCACAGCTCTATTACTGTGAAATGATTGTTTTATATCAATATGTAAAATGCATTATTACTGTCTGAAGTGTTAACTGTGTCTTCCTAGAAGTAGAAGTAGACGTATTTATAATAATGGGCGTTCATAGGGAGGAAATGCAACAGGGTAACAGTGTTGATATCAATCGAAATAATCTTTATTAATGTCAATTTGTACAAACACATCATCAGTGTGATTATTACAGAGTTTAGTATATTGATGCAATTAACAGTAGTGTCAGTATTTGGTATTAACTGTAATAATTAGCTATTTGTTAAGGCACGACATCACACTAAAGCTTCCGGTAGGTAGTTTCAAAATAAGTGCATGTCTTTGTATTTCTGGTTGTTTTTCATCATTATTATTATCTGAGTTTAAAAGGTAATATTATTCAGTGATAAACATTTCCCACTCGTCATCTTGTATTTGTTCCGTGGCCTGTGTTAAAATGTGAAAATTAAAATGGGATGAATCCGTCTGAGCGGATGTTGTCTCTCATCAGGAGGGTCAAGCTGCTCAACGTCAAACAACTTCAGACACACCGCGGGCAGACTGCGTCTCTCACAAAACCAGGTAATTTATCTTCCAGCACACTGACAGCTGCATCAGTCACTCACAGCTGCGACCACAGACACTGATTCACACAGATATGGGCTGTTTGATCGGCTCCTTTGCGACTGTCAGTCGTTTTCTTTCAGTCTGTTGTTTCTGTGCACACAATGGCGACGCTAGCTTAGCAAACGACAGCTAAAGCAAAACACACTTTGCTTCAGCTGAACAAACGCATCCTTGTCTTATAAGTTACCTAACCAGCTGAGGACAAAGACACACTCGCAGTCAGTCGTTTATCAACTTATTTTAGAAGAGCCAGGTGCGATAAATCCTCTTCGACC